GAGTATGGATCTGTTGCTATGGAGATTTATTTTCCGTCGTCTACCAGGCTTTTATATGGGTTATGTGCAGGGTGAAAAATAGACACTATGGTAACGCCTACTTATATTCGAACGATGATTGCACCTAAACCCGATAAAAACGTTTATATTGTCCAACTATCACTTCATAGAGATCGAGAACGAACTTAATTTTTACAGTTTGATCATGGCGGATCGATTTATGGAAACGTGCAATTTTAATAAATGTTTTACTTCCTTGATGTTACAGATTACAAGCTTAACAAATCACATTTTGCGGATTGATGGCTTGCGAAAACATTGCCATAATATAGTCCCTCATCTCTTTCTGTCTACAGCAGTAGATCAAAGGGTTTAACAGAGAGTTCAACATGGCGAATGTACGAAACCATGGCAGGAACACGTCGTATAATCCACCATACCCCTTCTTTGGCCTGAAGAGCAGAGCCATTGCCATGGGTAGAAAGCTGAACAGTACTGCGCTGACGATGTACACGGTGGTCTTGAAGGCTTTGTAATCTCTGACATGTCTGTCTATTTCACCTTGAGGCAGCTGTTGGGTCTTGATCAATTTTTGGTGGCGACGAATTTCACCGAACAAAATTGCGTAAGAAAATACTATAAATAGAATACAGCTCATCAAAATAAATGCTACTAAACTGGCAAAGTATTCTGGCAGGCCATTAACAACGTTGCCAAGAATTTCAATCAGAGTGGACAAGACCCACGTTGCTATCACCACCAGCCGAATGTTCCTTACGGTGACAACCGTAGGATACCGCATGGTATATTTGATGGCAATGAGTCTTTCGCCGGTTACCAGTGATAAATGGAGCACCGACACAAGCGACTGATATCCAAGTAGATCGTTGTGGATTCCGCGAAGCAGGCAGTTGTTTGGGGTACCGCTGACTTGAAACACCTTCCAGACAACGAGAGATGGCTGCACAGCGACACCGCAAAACAAATCTGTTCCAGCTAGGCAGGCCAACAGGATATTAGTGTTACTCTGAAGTCTTGGTCTTCTTTTCACTGCTACTATCACCAGCACATTCAGTGTTGTTGTACAGACGCATGCGATGCTGTTGATGATTATGACGAAGATAAAGCTCACTTCGGTCAGAACTGTTGACTCGCCATTGGCGATACCGTTATGATATCGATCTGGGCACGTGCTTTGAGACTCGGTTGAACCACTAGGAAAGTCGTTTGTATCGTTTTGTGTGAAGTTAGCCATGGCTGTCGAATGACTTGTTTGGAAATCAGATTCTGGATACTGATCCAGACAACCTGATGAGCAGCAAAGCCAGTTTTAAACTAAAAAGTGTTACCAAACGCTATATATGCCAGATACTGTGTACCACCTTATGCAAATCGTAATCGGGCGAGCAAAGTTTTTGAAATTATGTTCTTAAACATAGCCTTTAATTTGCAGGTGGTAAAGGTTTTTCATCGAGAATTTAATAAGATCTAATGAAGCTTAACAAGGTTCCGCTATAAAAGAGGGCTACTTAATTTGCCGACTTTAATCATGTTCGTTCTTTTGAAATTTATATGAATTGCGTATCCATTGTTTTTCTACTCACGAAAATCATGAAACCGCACGAAGCGTTTTGCTGTTTTTAACTGAAGCTCTCTTTTCAAAACTTGCTGGAGACTCTTAATAAAACCGCTTACATTACATGCTGCCTATTGACGATATTTCGCAGATGGCGCTTTCCTGTATATCAATATTAAACTTTTGGTGAGGTTGCAACGTGATCAAACACAAAGACCTAAGAATAATATCTTTTTGCGGCTGAATTTTCCCCCTAAAAGTATAAATACATGTATTTCTGCAATTGAAAGTTTTAATATTTTGGCGGCTTCGACATCGCCGCGCGAATTTGTGCATTTTAATCGTAAATCACGGTATAGCTTTCGCCTTTGTCTTGTGCAGAGTTAACGCCCCGTCCACACTACGCCAAAGAAATTTAAAAACGCAACAATCACGTACTGGTAATTTTCGATTTGTGTTTGAGGAAAACTCGGTGAGGGAATCACATCATCGTGATGTCTTCGTTTTCGAAATGTTTTTCGTCCTCACCAAAACGTAAAACCGTTTTCAAATTCCTCCGGTTTGAAGAGCGTGTTTGGAAAAGCTAAGCCTAACCAGAGAAAGAAAGTGTGTGATATGTGTGATAGTTTCGTTTGTAATAACAATTTATCGGCTGCCCCGGACAGCTGGTTGAATTGTCCGCCCGTTAAAATCTTTCCGAGTATGTGAGGATATAGGAAAATATTAAAAAATTTCATGTTTGTTCCTTCCGACCTTCAGGACTTTTTGAATAATCAGAAACCAATTCCTGACGGGTTTGATCAAAGTAAATGGAGCTTACGCAAATACTTCCTTTCGCTCTGCGTTAAAAGTTAATTAGTTTAGCTTTGTGAGCCGACCTTGACAAAGCTGCACTGATATCAATAGAACAAATTACTCATCATTTAGACCCAAGTTACAAATGCTCAGTGTTCTTTTCTATTTCAGATGAAATGAGAAATCGTTACAAAATATTGCTCTCAACCTTCAAATTGGACCAAAACTGATAACATTTTCTGTTATCTACCCATATTGGCTGTGACAAATTTCGCTGAGAAGGAGTTGTTTCCAYTCGTGGGTAGCATTTTTTCAGTGCTTCCTTGATCACTCGTCCGGATTCGCGGTAACAAAAGMAACACTTAGATTTTCGATTTTAATTCCAGATYGGTTAGATGAAACACATGTTCATTGCTTGAAAACTCTCACGAAAATCATGACATGGCACAACGTGTTTTCTGTTTCGCTAAGAAATTGTGGGAGTTAAAGCCCACTTTTCAAACTTTGCTAGAAATTCTTATCCTATTGCTTACCAAAATAATATGTGGTATATTGGCAAGATAGTTTTTATATGGAAACAGTTTACGAGTACGTTGCCAAAAATTGAAATAATCACCATTGTTGTTCCAAGGTGATCATTGACAAAGACCTAAGGTTTAAACTTGGCGAGAAATATAAGTTATTGAAGTAACGTGAAGTCCGTGTTGAGAAAATATTGGTCGAGTTTTTCGGCGAGGAGGTCCATAAACTTGCAAGAAAAGGAACGAAACCAATATTCTCTAAAGGCAAAAAAACTTTTAAAATCCTTCTGATAAATTAATTCATCAAGTGCTCGCCAAAGTTAAGCATATATTTGAATTTTTCAGGTCACTTCCGTGAAAGTTTAACTGAAATTTCCTCCAGAAATAGATGAAAGTATATTTCTACGTACTAAAGAGGAAACTGTTTTGTGCAATGTTTTGGAAAAGCAATTTGCCGAAGCTTTTCCTGAGAAGTCCATGTTTGCGTAGTGTCCTCAACAGCCGCTTTTTACTAATGTCGGCGATCTGTATTGCAAAATTCGGACCACTCAATGAACCAATCAGATTTCTCATTTTCATCGTGTTTAAGTGAAGTAAAGTGAAATGCGCACTCACGAGAGACGTAAGGTCACTTTTTTAACACTGGGAAACAACGCTGCAGTCAGAAGTATAATGTATGCTGGTGTTTCTCTAATTTGACAAGTATGATTTCTATCAAAAATTGTGAACATTTCCTGGGAAAATACCGACAAAAGCTCTCCTTCCCTCCAGAAATAAAAAGATAAAAAAAAAAAAAACGAAAAAATTGAGAATTTTATTCTATATAACAACCCATCGCTTACTGAGGGAGGTCTGTAAATAGGATAAACTGGAATTCCTGGATAAAACAATCCAAATCGTTGTCGTGCAGGAAGGTTTATAAATGGAGACATGCAATAAGGCTGTCTTCGTATTCTCGGTTTGGATTGAAACTAGCTTGCAATGGAGGGTCAGGCGGGGGAATATCAAGAGATTAGCATTAGCCTCGGTTGCAAGTTAGTTCCATTCCAACACCGAGAATACGAATATGGTCTATTATACATCCAATGAACCACTGCCAAACGTTACCACACTAGCGTTGTTGTTTGCAGAGCAAGTGGCAGCGAATACTCTTCTCCATATCACTATCTAGAATCAAAATACTTCAACTGGTTGTTTGGGTTGTGTTAATGAGTCACTTGCTGGGAAGAACTTAAAACAACAGGTACCGGAAGTAAAACAAGCAAACGGAAGTGAAAACAACTTCTATTCCTTAATTAAACGGGTTTGCGCTGTGTGATTTTTGAATACCTGCCNGTTTGGATTGAAACTAGCTTGCAATGGAGGGTCAGGCGGGGGAATATCAAGAGATTAGCATTAGCCTCGGATGCAAGCTAGTTCCAGTCTAACACCGAGAATACGAATATGGTCTATTATACATCCAATGAACCACTGCCAAACCTTACTACACTAGCGTCGTAGTTTGCAGAGCAAGTGGCAGCGAATACTCTTCTCCATATTACTATCTAGAATCAAAATACTTCAACTGGTTGTTTGGGTTGTGTTAATGAGCCACTTGCTGGGAAGAACTTAAAACAACAGGTACCGGAAGTAAAACAAGCAAACGGAAGTGAAAACAACTTCTATTCCTTAATTAAACGGGTTTGCGCTGTGTGATTTTTGAATACCTGCCATTTTGAAAATGGAATAATGAGGATCTAGCGAAAAAAGTAAAAAGTAAATCGTGTATATTGAATGACGTTTGTGATAATTGCAAATTCAGCGTTTTTGCTGCAACACTTGCTGATGAGTATGGAAGTGTTACAGAAGAAGTGCACACCTGCTGAGTTTCACACCGAGAGATTCTTGAAGAAAAGAGAAATAATTCTATTAAATCATTCCATTAAAATTTCTGTCGATTTTTCTCTAAAGTGACTTAATCGAAATAATTTTAGTTATTTAAGCCAAAACCATTTCTTTTCCTCAAATCATTCAACCATAATAAGTCGAAGCATGGTTACTTGACGTAAAATCGATCTGTGTGAACTGATTGAGATGCCCTTGCCATGCAAAGACCGGCTCTTGATGCGATTTCCGTCATGTTTTCTCCCAACCTATACGTAACCAAAAGCTTTTGGATTTTTAGACGGAAGTTTTCTTTAAATATTTCGATTTGCTATTATTTGTTTTTAAACATAACTTCCGAGAGAGCTCTTTTCCAATTGGGCAGTTCAAAGCTGTACAGAGAAGAATGGCGTCAATTAGCCGAAATGAACAAGGTGATTATTTAATATTAATAATGTCATCAGTCCCCAAATAAGTGTTAGACGAACTCTTGGGAGATTCTCCAGGTGGCGTCAGTACTACTTGAAATTAAAAGCAAACTTCACGGAAGAGACAGGAAGAAACGTGGTGAGGTCCGGGCAGTGCGGAAGGAAGATATTTTGACATGGAATTTCCAATTAGCTCTCAGGTAACTCTATTATTTAGAACAAAAACACAGTGCAAAACTTATAAGCAAGCGCGGAATTGAGAGCTCTTGCTCCAGAGCAAATTATAGAGCATCGCTTCCGACTGCTTGCTGTAAAAAGAAACTTAGATACTGTAAGACGTTAGGGAGCCTTTGCAGTCATCACCACGAGGCCAGTATCCACTTGTGTACCGACAGATATCGAAAATACTTACTCCTGTTGTAACTGTAGCATTTATTTACCAGGCCATACGGGGTTAATTGACACTTGGTGTAGTCTATTATTGTAGTATTTTGACAAGGTCCACACAGCAATGATGGCAAGGAAACATTAACCGAAGACATTTATGTCGAAGAAGTGGTTTAAACAGACAAATTAACGAATGTCGATACAAAATAGTCAAAGGGTGTTGATAATAGAACAGGTTAGAGTTTGAACACTAGAAAAGCAGAAAAGCGAATTGTAATATTCAGGCACAGTTGTGGATGAATTTCCCCGAAAGCCATATAATAAATCCTTTATTAACCAAGCTTGTTCGGTCAAGATGGCTTGATATTGGTTTCGTTCCTTTTTTTGCGAGTCTATAATTATGGACCGAGACGGAGTTGAGGTCCATAAACACGCAAAAAAAGAACTTGGCCAATATCCAGCCATCTTGACCTCACACTTGGTCAATAACCCATACTTATTATTCAGCTGCTCATAATAGAAACGCCAATTGAATTCCTTTCTGCAGGCTGGTAATGGAGTGTACATGGAGCCAGGGGGCGTCATTCGTAGCATTGGGAACCCAGTCTCCGACGGTAACATAGTGATGGATCCTAACTTCGAGATTGCTGACCTTCCAGTGAAGCTTGAGCTTCGTTACGTCATAGAATCGAAACGTGCTGCTCACGGCCTGGACTCCCCAAAGATCGACTACCGCTCCAAAGATTCCAAGAACCAACAAGTATTTTATACTCTTTCAAAGTTTGTTTAAGGAGCTAGTACAAACTATTTATTTATTTATTTTTTTACAACAGAAAAGGGTCTAAAAATCATAGCATGGATTCTTTAAATAGTGGTCTCAAATAATTGAGAAACACAACAGAAATTCTGACAAATCGCTTAAGGTTAAAATTGGAAGACAATCATTGATGTTTTAGATTCAGTCTGTTTTCTAAAATATCAGGATGCTGATATAGAAGTCTAACTTAATTTACTTGACGTAAACATTGAGTAAACTAAGTTAGGCGAGATTGAAAAGGAGTCCACAAAAAATTCTTTTGGGTGACAAGCAACAAGTCACATCGTAGTGTACAAAGTCCATAGTGTGACCCTCGCACGTATCACTAAGGAGAAATATGAGGACCAAAAAATAGGCTAACTTACCTAATGTTTATAAAGTCGTTTCTTTACTGAAATTATTTGTATGAAAACTATGAAATTCTAGTTCAGTGACTTATGGTACAGTTCCAATCGTAAATATAATAAAAGTCCGATTTTAAGTCCCCATGTCTAATTCTAAGACCCTGCCCCCTCTATATATAAAGCTCACCCTCTAGATCTTCGATTTTCGATTAGCACCCTCCCTCTATTCAGCCTTTTAGTCTTACTTTGTGCGCCGCATTCTTGATCTATAGATGAACAAGCCATTTCTGATACCTCTGTTTCAAAACGACTCCTGCTGCAAACCCTTTCACATGAAAATGAGTTTGATTTGCATAAAAAAGGAAACAAGTAAGCAGAACACGTTTTCATATGAATGGTTTCGCACGAAGACTCGCTTTGACACAGAGACAAACGGAAAATAGGAAATAGCCTATTGAGAACGTTCTTCTAGAATGAATTTCGGAGATCAGTGAAAGAAGGAAATGATCGAAAATCTCATATTTGCTATTATAGGTGCTTGAGACTCCATTTTTATTTTACGTTTGGAACTCGAGTCAATAGTCCTTGAATCCAAAATGGAGTGACAAGTAAGACATGTGTAGTTTGGATCCGCGTTTTTTTAATGGAAAACAGATAACACCAAGACACAAAATAATCCTTCGGGAATGCTGGGTGAAACGTGTGATATTTATTACAAGGGTTTATGACATGATCGACTTTCTTCCAAGCTTTACATTTCATGTCGCTTCAGTTTTATGATGCCCAGAAACCAGGAATGCAGCTTATTCATATAGCTTTAGTTTCTCCTGACGAGAAATAAAAACAAAGTCAAATCGAACTTGGACGACACCTTAAGTAATTGCATCGCTGTCACGATGTTGTTTAACTATATATTTTACTGAAAAACTACAAAGGAAGATATTCTTTTTTTGTAAGGTATTGCTAACTGCGTAAATCATCTCAGGGATGAACTTCTTATACCGGAGTGGTATAAATGATACTCTCTTCTGGAATATATACATATAGCACTGGAGAAATTGCCTAGTCTATTTTGAACTAAGCCTCTTTCATCGCGAAATCCTGGGAAGTCATTTGAAAGTTAGAGGTAGTGATTAGATACCTCAAGTTCTAAGTGAAAAGGCAAATGGCAAGTAAAGAAAGTGCAATCTGGTCATTTCGAGTCGACAAGACTTTATAAAGCTTTAGTCTGGATTCAGGCTCTGGTACGGAGTTGCTTTGTTGTGTTGACTTCATGGGCAAAATACCTTTCTTTCGGATGTAACAGCGTTTCTATCTAACTTGTGGTTTAAAAAAACCAGTTAAAGGAAGTGTACACCAACGATATTTACCACAAGACGAAAGTATACAAATCGGATAAGCAATTTGCATGGTTGTAAACTTTCCATTTCACGGCTATTGAGATGCTCAAAGACAAGTCAAAGGTCGACGTGATATATGCTCATCGTTCGTTTATTCAAATGTTCAATGTCAGCTATACGCTCATGACCTTTAAAGGATACAAATCGTTTCCTTCAAATACTATCTCCACCTTATTTTCAGTGCGTGATTCGCACAGTTGAAATTTAATAGCCGTAAATGACAGAGGGCTAGTGGGAAATTTGTAGTCACGTGATAATTTTCTCGTTAGCGGAAAGAACAAACGTTGCACCTGAGAAGATGAATCGGAACGTCGTGTATTCAACAAACAGAAGAAGCACCTAGGGTCGAAACTATGGGGCATGAAGTTATAAGCTGACCTGAGCGCTTAAAGAAATTGTTATTGACTGAAACATTTCAAGGATCACTTGCTGATTGGTGAGGTAGTAATTCGATAAGAATTCTATTAGAGAATCAACCATGCCAGTTCATTGTCACTTGTAATACTTTTAAAAGACAATTGTTTCTTTAATTTAACTGAAAAGTATAAACCGTGCTTGTTTCCTCTACTAATGATCTTCTTTCTGGCAATCACTGTGAAAGCTAAACAAAACCAAACGTTATTCACAGAACATTTATTACTCACGACAAACACAAAAATCTTTCAGTCATCATGTAACATTAAAAGGACTAATGTCAACGCTTGAATGGAACGCTCCTGTTTCCACTCCCGCACAATTAGAGCTCAAGGAATCATTTATATCGGGGTTAATTCATTCTTTTGAACGCTTGAGAAGTTGTGAATAGAAAAGGTTTGGCGGCCATTATGATAGGGCGCTTACACCTGTTGTCGCAATTAACACCGTGAAATGTTTACATATTTTGCATCGATTGTCCTTGACTGGTGTTCGGGAGGGGTTAACACCACAAGATCCACTATATCCCGTGAAGTGTGGACCATTTATAACACGGTGAAACGTCAAAAATATAAATATTCTTCACATAAAGGCATGTTCTTCGATGAGATACGGGCATCATTTAACATTAGCCAGGGAAACTGGCTCAGACCAGAAATTTCCCAAACCAGCTTAGACAATTATGCAATTTATTGTTTTGAGTGGTTTCGGTAGAGCAATCATGGCCTTATCCTCCGCCCCCCGCCCCCGGAAAATGACCTGTCATAATCTTTTCATTACTTATGTTTATGTAAGAAGTGCTTATCTGATTTCTCGTCAGCTTCCTCAAAAAGGTGAATTAAGCGATTTTAAGTTGCCGACTCCGGGTGTGTTTCTTAAATTGTGTTTCGTTGTTCCTCTACATATGTTCGTGTGCGATTCTTTTTTTCCACTCATGCAGCTCACCCCAGACGAAGAACAAAGACGCAAGCTTCGACGAGAACGAAACAAGGTGGCCGCCTCGAAATGTCGGATGAAGAGGAAAGAACATGTAAACACATTGAGAAAGGTAAGTGCCACTTGTGTTACGTTCGCTCGCTTAATCGTTCCAATCTGATACAATCACAACGCAGCTGAAGAGGCTTTTGCTATCTGTGGGTAATGTTATTTCTGAACTATGTTTTGAAAAGTTGTAGAGCCCTGATACGTACAATTCAGTTCTAACTTTAGGAAATGAATACGCGTGTCGCCCAACGAACATGCATGTAATGTCAGTGTTAGTTTAATAATTCTTTTACATCATAGGCTTGAAAAAATAATAATAAAAAAAACCTTTCTATGAGCTAAACAAAGAGGAGATGACAAGGTGGGGTGAATGCTTCCCCTCTTGCATCGAAGCCGAGATCCCAGAAGCTTCTCAGCTAGCCCTACAAAGTGGCCTTGGTTTCATCTAGCCCAGAAATCCTGGGAGTTCCCCGGATTTGCTCCGAGAGTGTTTCTAACATTCCAATAATTTTGAGGTCACAGGTTCAGTTGTAAACTAAATCGTCGTAAACTAACATGTCTAGATTTTTATTGAGTGGTATCACATGAAAGTGATAGGGTTTCTATGTTATTTATAACATTCATTCCCAGGCCGCGGAGGAGCTGGAAACCGCCAATAGCCAGCTGGAATCCGAGATTGCTTACCTCACTGCAGAGCGTGAACAACTAGAGATGATGCTCGACGCGCATGTCTGTAATATGGACAAAGCCGCTGGACGAGGTCCTGCCTGAACATGGCAAAAAGCTAGGAGTGCCAATGCTACCTTGTAAAAGATGAGCTAAATGATACAAATGACTTTATTTGACAAAAGCAAAGGACCTCCCTTTCATCGAGTAATTGACTTGACTTCGCTTTAAGATTTCAAGTGCCTCTGCGGATAAAGACGTTTTCAAGCATCCTGTGTTTTTATAATGAAATCCATTGCCAACTGAAGAGAAGTGATGCCCTCCGCCCTTTTTAAGTTATTACGAAAAAGACATTATGTTTATAAGTAGTTAGAGAGGTTTTCAACTGAGCGTCGTAAAATCCAAAACCAAATTACTTACTCCTAGTGGCCAATCAAAAACGACCAGGAAAATGCATTAAACAAATCAAAACTCGACACGGAGTCACGTAGCTGACGCGAAGCGCGGGAAAACGTGTGCCAGCGAGTCACGATTGGTTTTGGTTTTACTTATGATTGGATGAGAAAGTGGCGCGATTTCTTTTAAGCCAATCGTGTAACGTAGTGATTACTTTGATTTTGGTTCTGCGACCCTCATTTGAAAACCGCTCTATCATCCTTAGTTTAATTCAGCAGGTTACTCAAGGTCACTCATAATTGAACATAAGAGAATTTGTCACAGCACGTAAGGCTTATGTTTAATTTTATTTATCTCAGAACAGGACAACAGTCGGTTTGACTTGCGCAATCCAGTCTCGCGGGTAGAGATGAAACCAGTGTTTTTAAATTAATCCTTTTTTTTCAAAACCATTTATATCTCGAATAAGTTTTTTACGTTACCTTTTTATAAAAACTATTTATATCTTAACCTGTACATTACGTCGGTAGTCCTAGGCAAATAAACAGAATGAATGAATAGATACCACGTAAATCGTTATTTCGAGATCATCATGGCAATTGCTAAAGTTGTAAACTTATTAGCAAAATTCTATTTTTTTTTAGCCCATTCTTAAAGCTTGAAGCAACTTTTCAGTCAAAGGAACAGTGATGGATATTTTGCCAAAAAAAGGTTTACATGTAACGAATTTTTTTGTACGATCACAAAATGCGGACAATATTAACATATTTGTTTTGATCGGTTTCTGCTATTTGTGGATTAACCTGCTTTCAACTGACAATATCACATGACCAATATTCTAGAAGGACAAACTCGTCGACATATAATTGCAATTCATGCAAGGTTATTCGTAGTTGTTATTTTTGTTCGTAACTTTATTTTGTTGTTCATATGACAATGATACGACTCCCTTAAATGAAAGAGGAAGGTGACCCATTTAGGAACGTTTCCAGTTTTCATGGACCAAAAATTACCGCCCCGGCAAAGAGATTTCCGTAGCGGTGATGCAGTATTCTCATCAGTGTACATCTTTTTATATTTAATTCGTGTGTAAATTATCTATTCTAATTATTTAATAAGTAAATTATACTTGGATTCTCGTCCGTTCAGTTGTTTATGTATGTGAGAGTTAGTCAAGTCAGATGTCACTAGTGTCTCTTCACGCGAGAGGGTCTGGAAACGATTTAACAGATTGTGAAAATTGGTCAAGAAAAGAACTGACATCGAAAAAAATCTTCTGATAGCTAAGAAATGACTTGAAATTTTTAAAACTTATAGCTGAGAAATCCGCCACTAATTACTGTGATAACCGCTGAGATTCTCGCGCGAACGCCGAGGCCTTCATATCACGTGTTTACATTCTTCCATGTTTAAACATACGCATGGCAAAATGGAATTTATTTATTTGTTTGACAGATAACAGTCGAGAACAGAGTGGTGACCTGTCTTGTTCACGACATAGCAAGAAGCTAATATGTTCCGTTAACTATTAGACCACGAGTAGTCCCTCTTTCGCTTAGACCGTCGTGCTTGACGCGAAAGAAAACTGCGAGAAAAAAATGGCCGCGCGAAATCCTGGGGGCGAGGAGCACGCGAAAGTTCCTCCTTTCGCGTGCTCCTCGCCCCCGGGATTGCGCGCGGCCATTTTTTTCTCGCGGTTTTCTTTCGCGTCAAGCACGACGGTCTAAGCGAAAGAGGGACTACTCGTAGTCTAGTTCACTATTGAGATTATGTACAAATGGCGGGATAAATAGAAATTGCTCCAAATGACTTCATATCAGTACGTTCAGAGTTGTAAGAGCAGTGTAGCAACGCTATAAGCGTTAGTATTTGATTGAGAGAGATCTTTGCAGTGATGAAAATCATCTCCTCAAGTAAATGGTGAACGAAATTGCGTGACCTGCTCTTTAGTACACGTGTATAACTAAATAACTTCTTTCACGAAAAAGTATTTTAGTGGAATATAGCTGCAGTGCATATATAAGAATATATTATTTAGCCAAGTTACAGTCATAGTCTCGTTTACCTGAGAGTAATTTATGAGCGTGAACTAATTTTAATGTTTAAAGATGACTGATCATCATGTGTATAGCATAGGATATGTATTTTGGTCTTAGAATGTTTGCTACGAAACGTGTACATTGCCATCCTTAAGTTTAGTTGAGTTCATATATAAGTGCAGTGCAAGTATATTAAAAAAATAAAGTTTTTTTTGCACCAAAATGAACGTTTCTGCTCATTGTCAGATATTAATAAAATGCCGCATACCCCTACCAAAGCCGTGGGTTTCGTAAAGAATCGGGCAAATGGACCGGAATTTTTACTACTTTAGAGTTTCAGATTTATCATATTTAGCATGTTTACCCCACGTCTTTTCAAATCCTTCTGAACTGTTCGCTGNAATTCTGACAAATCGCTTAAGGTTAAAATTGGAAGACAATCATTGATGTTTTAGATTCAGTCTGTTTTCTAAAATATCAGGATGCTGATATAGAAGTCTAACTTAATTTACTTGACGTAAACATTGAGTAAACTAAGTTAGGCGAGATTGAAAAGGAGTCCACAAAAAATTCTTTTGGGTGACAAGCAACAAGTCACATCGTAGTGTACAAAGTCCATAGTGTGACCCTCGCACGTATCACTAAGGAGAAATATGAGGACCAAAAAATAGGCTAACTTACCTAATGTTTATAAAGTCGTTTCTTTACTGAAATTATTTGTATGAAAACTATGAAATTCTAGTTCAGTGACTTATGGTACAGTTCCAATCGTAAATATAATAAAAGTCCGATTTTAAGTCCCCATGTCTAATTCTAAGACCCTGCCCCCTCTATATATAAAGCTCACCCTCTAGATCTTCGATTTTCGATTAGCACCCTCCCTCTATTCAGCCTTTTAGTCTTACTTTGTGCGCCGCATTCTTGATCTATAGATGAACAAGCCATTTCTGATACCTCTGTTTCAAAACGACTCCTGCTGCAAACCCTTTCACATGAAAATGAGTTTGATTTGCATAAAAAAGGAAACAAGTAAGCAGAACACGTTTTCATATGAATGGTTTCGCACGAAGACTCGCTTTGACACAGAGACAAACGGAAAATAGGAAATAGCCTATTGAGAACGTTCTTCTAGAATGAATTTCGGAGATCAGTGAAAGAAGGAAATGATCGAAAATCTTATATTTGCTATTATAGGTGCTTGAGACTCCATTTTTATTTTACGTTTGGAACTCGAGTCAATAGTCCTTGAATCCAAAATGGAGTGACAAGTAAGACATGTGTAGTTTGGATCCGCGTTTTTTTAATGGAAAACAGATAACACCAAGACACAAAATAATCCTTCGGGAATGCTGGGTGAAACGTGTGATATTTATTACAAGGGTTTATGACATGATCGACTTTCTTCCAAGCTTTACATTTCATGTCGCTTCAGTTTTATGATGCCCAGAAACCAGGAATGCAGCTTATTCATATAGCTTTAGTTTCTCCTGACGAGAAATAAAAACAAAGTCAAATCGAACTTGGACGACACCTTAAGTAATTGCATCGCTGTCACGATGTTGTTTAACTATATATTTTACTGAAAAACTACAAAGGAAGATATTCTTTTTTTGTAAGGTATTGCTAACTGCGTAAATCATCTCAGGGATGAACTTCTTATACCGGAGTGGTATAAATGATACTCTCTTCTGGAATATATACATATAGCACTGGAGAAATTGCCTAGTCTATTTTGAACTAAGCCTCTTTCATCGCGAAATCCTGGGAAGTCATTTGAAAGTTAGAGGTAGTGATTAGATACCTCAAGTTCTAAGTGAAAAGGCAAATGGCAAGTAAAGAAAGTGCAATCTGGTCATTTCGAGTCGACAAGACTTTATAAAGCTTTAGTCTGGATTCAGGCTCTGGTACGGAGTTGCTTTGTTGTGTTGACTTCATGGGCAAAATACCTTTCTTTCGGATGTAACAGCGTTTCTATCTAACTTGTGGTTTAAAAAAACCAGTTAAAGGAAGTGTACACCAACGATATTTACCACAAGACGAAAGTATACAAATCGGATAAGCAATTTGCATGGTTGTAAACTTTCCATTTCACGGCTATTGAGATGCTCAAAGACAAGTCAAAGGTCGACGTGATATATGCTCATCGTTCGTTTATTCAAATGTTCAATGTCAGCTATACGCTCATGACCTTTAAAGGATACAAATCGTTTCCTTCAAATACTATCTCCACCTTATTTTCAGTGCGTGATTCGCACAGTTGAAATTTAATAGCCGTAAATGACAGAGGGCTAGTGGGAAATTTGTAGTCACGTGATAATTTTCTCGTTAGCGGAAAGAACAAACGTTGCACCTGAGAAGATGAATCGGAACGTCGTGTATTCAACAAACAGAAGAAGCACCTAGGGTCGAAACTATGGGGCATGAAGTTATAAGCTGACCTGAGCGCTTAAAGAAATTGTTATTGACTGAAACATTTCAAGGATCACTTGCTGATTGGTGAGGTAGTAATTCGATAAGAATTCTATTAGAGAATCAACCATGCCAGTTCATTGTCACTTGTAATACTTTTAAAAGACAATTGTTTCTTTAATTTAACTGAAAAGTATAAACCGTGCTTGTTTCCTCTACTAATGATCTTCTTTCTGGCAATCACTGTGAAAGCTAAACAAAACCAAACGTTATTCACAGAACATTTATTACTCACGACAAACACAAAAATCTTTCAGTCATCATGTAACATTAAAAGGACTAATGTCAACGCTTGAATGGAACGCTCCTGTTTCCACTCCCGCACAATTAGAGCTCAAGGAATCATTTATATCGGGGTTAATTCATTCTTTTGAACGCTTGAGAAGTTGTGAATAGAAAAGGTTTGGCGGCCATTATGATAGGGCGCTTACACCTGTTGTCGCAATTAACACCGTGAAATGTTTACATATTTTGCATCGATTGTCCTTGACTGGTGTTCGGGAGGGGTTAACACCACAAGATCCACTATATCCCGTGAAGTGTGGACCATTTATAACACGGTGAAACGTCAAAAATATAAATATTCTTCACATAAAG